CTTGGGGGGTATTTGAACCAAAAAGTTGACCTTAAATCTGAGATCCTGCATAGAGAAAATAATTCAATGTAATCCGAAAGGGGGCCACTCTGATCTCGCTCTATGCAGAATTTCTTCGGGGAAGGCGGGTTGTTTTTATCTCATTGGTCCGTGCCAAGGGGGAGTCGTTCCCCGTCGCTCTTGTGCAATAAGCCACTGACTGTAGGCTACCAGTAATACTCACCTGCTGAAGAGGGCTGCCAGTTTTTATGAGCCTCAACACTGTATTTATTTATTTATTTATTGAGGTATTTATTTTGAATAAAACGTTTTGACTAATCAGGTGTTTTCCCTCTGGCATGTGAAATGTAAAATGTAATCAGTCCCTGAGAGTTTGGGCACATTTGGTCAAATTTTTACAAGCGAAACATTAAAAGTATGTACTTATGTTCAAAGCTTATTATTAATGTCCATATATATATATATATTTATTGATGCGATATTATTCACTTTTAAATGTGACCAAAAGGAAAAAATCTGAATGTGTTTGCACCACTGTGTCACCATAGCAACACAAATTGGTACATATTAACACTTAAAAAGGAGCGTTAATGAAACTGTTCTTGTTGCACTTTGTATAAACTTTCTGATTCTTTGTGTTCTGTTTACAAATGTTTGCACTTCTTTTACGTTTCTGGATTTAAGGGATCAAAGCGTTAGTTTCACGTCACACAGATACACGGCGTAAAATGTAGCACTTTCTGTTTTGTAACATGTGACCTGTGTTTTTAACTGACCCGTGGCGATTGCACATTTCACAAAACAATGACAATTTTGTTACCGTGATGGACTGAATGAGTGAACATTTTAATAAAACATACTGAGATAAGAGACCTGACTTTTTATTTACTGCTTCACTCTCTTTATTTGTATGACCTAAAATATTTTACTCGTGGGTTCAACGCGCTGTGGAAATAGTTTGATTCATAATAGTAATAGCAATGTTTTTCACAGGAAGGCTGCATGAACATCGACTGATACGGATCAAAATAAGACAAAGCATATCAAACCAAAAGCAGCCCAATTTGATTTAATTATGTTAAGTTATAACAATCTAATAATGTTTTTAAATAATAATAATTATTTATTTTCAGGCTGAATGCTTTTATTTAGAATATAATTATCACATTTTACTTAAACTGATTATCTATAAAGCACTTTGTTACTTTTAAAGATTATTGCTGTTCTAGTTTTCCAACTGTGAATTCTTTAATATTGATTGGTAGGTTAAATAAGAGGCAGATATTCTATCTTCAATCAGATGACTTTAATGTAACTTCTGCACTTTACAACCACAGACTGTAAATATTACAATATAGCTCACCTGGAGGTTAACAGGTCAGGTCTAATTAACCGCTGCATCATGCATTCATATCACACTGCTGCCCTCTGCTGGCACTGGGTTACAATTACATCCAACAGTCACTATAACAGAAATGTATCCTCTTTTTAACGATTCAGCTTTTTTCCCATCACATAAAAGTGTGGAAAAATAGAAATAGTGCAGTTACTTCTGTATAGCAGACAGTAGTTTACCTACCAACATTGTTTGAATTCAGATTATTTTCAACCATCTTTTATACTTATCTCAGAATATGTTAAAACAAACTAAATGAAAAGACTTAATCATTTGTAAATGTTTGGAAATTAAAGTGACTACACCTATAACTACCACAAGATGTGTTTGTAAAGTCAGTATAATATTAGTGTTTTCTTTGGTATAAAAGCAGGAGTGTTTGGATAATTTCACTAATAGATCAATCATTTAAACAACAGTATCTATCCACAGATTATAAATCTAAAAATAAATGTTTTATTTATTTTCGATGTTTTACTTAATTTTGTTATTGTGTCTCCTAATTCACAATGAGTTCTCTACGTCGATACGACCTTTACCTGGGAGTGACACGCCCACAACGTCACTTCCGCTGCTGCGCATCACGCTCAGGTGTGCTCCTCAGGTGTGCCAAAGTTAATATCGTCCCTGGACCACTCGAGCGGATGACGGGTGTCCGAGTTTGGATGAAAATGCTGCGAAAAGAAGAATTGAAGACGAAGAAGAAGAAAAAAACGTGTTTGTATGCTAATGCTAATGCTAACTGAACCATAACAACATCGTGTGTCTGAGAGATTCAACCAAAAGTGAAGAGAAAGTTGTTGTTTGAACTCAACATTCAGGGTTTTCTTCTTGTTTCTTTGTACAGGTGTGTGCAGGTGTTTCCTCGCTCTGTGCTGTAGCTCCGAGGTAAAATGATTTTCTAAACATTACTGTTCACAGAGCTCAGAGATTAAATGTTCATCTTGATAAAGTAATATGAATAAACTTTATTTATTTCATTTAAAAAGTAAAAGCTCTTCATCCAGCCTTCTGTGTTTAATTTACTCAAAGAAACAGCAGTCTGATTCATTTATTATTTAAGTGCAGTAACCAACAACTAACCACCAGAGGGCGCCCTCTCTATATAAAGTGATTTATAAACGATATAATGCATTTATTTTAAACCTTTAACTTTAATTAGAGTTTTTGTTCTTGTGACAGTTCATTTTGTAAGTCAATAAAGTAATTTGATAATTAAGATTACATCATTGTATGCTAAAGTATTTATATTAAAGCTGAGTTTTTACCTTTTAGTTAATTAAATTAGTTTTTAGTTTTTCTGAATGAAAATACCACAAAACCTTTTTATTGATTTAATTGAAATGATCAATTTGATTAAATCTGCTTATTTGATTAGGATTCAAATATTTGATATAAGAGTACATCTTACAGCTCAATGAGATAGTTCAGATTAAACACTTAAATTAAAATGAAACATTTACAAGTTAAAAAGGTTGTTAAAATTCTTCTTCCTTGTCTTGATTTTATGAACTTTCATGTGCTCATAACTCTTCTTCACCTACCTTATGTGCGCCATTATATTAAGTTCATTGATAATATCACAGATCAATTACAACTCTGAATATATATTATATATATAAATGTATAGAGCATTTTCTTTCCAGGAGGATCCCTCGTCGGTGGCCGTCTTCCTGCTCAGGTAGGAGACTCAAAGCTTTCTTAATGTTGTTTTATTGTGTTCCAGGTTTTAGGTCTTATAGATGTTTAGACTCAGTTATTTTCAGGTGTTTAATGTAAAACTACATTATTATTATTATATCTATTAGGTATCGTTAGTCGACAGCTACATAGCATTCTGTGTTTTTGTATGTTGATGTTAAAGCTGATTGAAGGAGTTATGACCTCCTTTAGACATGGACATCCAGTGCTGGTATTACTTCCTGATCTAACGTTATCCTGAAGGTAGCATCAGTGTCCTGAATGTTACAGTTAACTGTTTTCCCTGAAAATGATTTGAATCACTTCTCCTTTGAAGGGTTAAAGAGAGTTTAACTTTTAACAGGACACTGATGCTACCTCGATCAGGAAGTAATACCAGCGCTGTGTGTCCATGTCTAAAGGAGGTCATAACTCCTTAAATCTGCTCAACATACAAAACTCATAACTCCACCTAAAACCTGGAACATAATAAAACAACATTAAGAAAGCTTTGAGCTCCTACCCAATGGGGGCTGGAGGATAGTGGGGGGGAAGGGGACTGGCTGGATGTAACCCCCTCACCTGTCACACCTTATTGTATTGTGCTGACGTAACGTGTTCAAAACACAGAGGTCATCACGTCTGTTCAATATTTTATTGTAATAAAACTACTGCTCTGTCCATTTTGGCACATTTCTTTAGAGTGCTACTCACACATTTAGCTGGGTTGCACGTTCCATGAATGCACGATGCTTACAAATTATACCTCGTCGTAGGTTTATTCTGCTGTTTATTCTTGTCTGGACAAAATATATAGAAATATAAATCATTTATTTAACATAGATTAAAAAACAAATCTGAGACTTGAACAAAACAACACTCAGATCCAGCAGGAGAACAGTCTGCATCTGTCTCTGTGGCTCAGGAGATAGAAGGAGGACTTGGAGTCTGGAGGTCGTGGGTTCAAATCTTATCAGGATTTAGTGAATTTTAAAGGTGTCGGTCCAAAATGAAAGACTCAAGAGGAGAAACACAGTGAAGCACCTGCCAGTATGGATCCACAGGACACACACCATTATCTTCAAGGTGTTGGTCCAAAGGAAAGACTCAAGAGATCTGAGAAACATAGTCAAGAATCTGTCTCTGTGGCTCAAGAGATAGGAGGAGGACTTGGAGTCTGGAGGTTGTGGGTTCAAATCTTATCAGGACTCAGTGAATTTTAAAGTCTAACATCTGAAATGATGAAGATAAATACGCCCGGAGCACATCTCATAGTGTGAAGATATTGGTAGCGTAGAGGATAAGATTGCGATTGCCAAACTCTGAAGATGGTGGGCCTAGGTTCAAATCCCACTGTGTCTGGAATCTTATCAGGCAAAAGTTTTAAAGTGAAAATCTGAAATGACGATGATAAATACGCCCGAAACACATCTCAAAGTGGGAAGGGACCAGTGGCCAAGTGGAATCATCCATGCATCAGCAATGAGTACATGCTGGTTCAAGTCCAGCTTCTATGGTACCTGGAGTTCCCCCTGGTGTTTTATGAGTAACACAAGTACAGGGTTATGAAAAAGAAAATCAAGTGTGTCTGAAGTTTTGTGAACATGTCAGAGCCTTTTTTTAAAAAGTGTTGGATGACTTATTGAACTAAATATAGTGTACTAACCTAAATTCATTAATGGTTCATTGTTCCCACCATGACATAAGATTTTATTTATTATATATACATATGGTCAATCATATATCAGGATAATATGGTTCAAAGTTAAAAGGAGCTCAAGTAAAATATGGAGCATCAGTTAAGTCACTAGAGACACTGTTTACATGGATCATTCAGGGAACAGGAAGTTATAAAGGAAACAGGAAGTTCAGGGTTCTTTCTCTAATCTGCACACAGCACGCAGCAACAGAAATGTAAGTTCCTGTACTGAAGTTAAGGTTTAGCATTAGCATGTAGCTTAGCATTAGCAACAACTTGTATTAGTTTATTGTTTGAATTTATACAGAACTTTGGTAATGACTAAACTTCTTGTGTCTTGTAGTTTTCACTCCTTCAATCTGGTGAAGAAATGAAAAGAGGAGATCATCTCTTTGCTCCCTTCAGGTGCAGCTCCTGCAATTCAAACACAAAGTTTACATTTAGTTTAGACCAACAAAGACAAAGTTTACATTTAGTTTAGACCAACAAAGACAAAGTTTACATTTAGTTTAGACTAACAAAGACAAAGTTTACATTTAGTTTAGACCAACAAAGTTTACATTTAGTTTAGACTAACAAAGTTTACATTTAGTTTAGACTAACAAAGACAAAGTTTACATTTAGTTTAGACCAACAAAGACAAAGTTTACATTTAGTTTAGACTAACAAAGTTTACATTTAGTTTAGACTAACAAAGTTTACATTTAGTTTAGACCAACAAAGACAAAGTTTACATTTAGTTTAGACCAACAAAGACAAAGTTTACATTTAGTTTAGACTAACAGAGACAAAGAGGTTCCTCATGGAGGAGCACAGCATGACTCATGTGAGTAGAAATGAAAAGGTCTGGTTCATCTATCTGTAGAGAGAAGGTTAAAAATGTTTGACTTGAAATAAAAACTGTTTTTTTAAGTTGTTCAAGCTGTTTCAATCGTCTTCTTTGACATGTCATGACTCATCGTGTGTGTGTGTGTCGCTCTGACTCACCAAACTCATAATACTGAAGGCTGCAGAGAAGACAGATACGGCGGCTACATGCTAATGCTAAGCTACATGCTAATGCTAAGCCACGTGGTATGCTACATCAGATGCAATACGTCACAAATTATAACAAGGCTAATGTTAAGCTACATGCTAATGCTAAGCTACATGCTAATGCTAAGCCACGTGGTATGCTACATCAGATGCAATACATCACAAATTATAACAAGGCTAATGTTAAGCTACATGCTAATGCTAAGCTACATGCTAATGCTAAACTTTAACTTCAGTACAGGAACTTACATTTCTGTTGCTGCCTGCTGTGTGCAGATTAAAGAAAGAATCCTCAACTTCCTGTTTCCTTTATAACTTCCTGTTGCTACATCTAAAGCACTTCCTGTTAATAACCAGAGCACTTCCTGTTGATAAATCCAGAGCACTTCCTGTTAATAAATCCAGAGCACTTCCTGTTAATAACCAGAGCACTTCCTGTTGATAAATCCAGAGCACTTCCTGTTAATAAATCCAGAGCACTTCCTGTTAATAACCAGAGCACTTCCTGTTGATAAATCCAGAGCACTTCCTGTTAATAAATCCAGAGCACTTCCTGTTAATAACCAGAGCACTTCCTGTTGATAAATCCAGAGCTACAGATTCACAGATATAAGAAGACCGAGGAGTTCAGATGAAAAGAAACAAAGCTACATGGACAGACAGGTGATCATTCAAATGATTTTGTCTGCTTGCGTTGGATGTTTCTCGATCTTCCACCATGACATAAGATTTTATTTATTATATATACATATGGTCAATCATATATCAGGATAATATGGTTCAAAGTTAAAAGGAGCTCAAGTAAAATATGGAGCATCAGTGAAGTCACTAGAGAACTGTTTACATGATATGTGAACACCAAGAAAGAAACTATTTATGTAGAAATGTCACTGTCTGCCTCTCCTCTCTCTGTATCGAGGTCATTGCTGAGTCCAGCCAGTGAGGCTCCAAACCTCCATGGAAATGTGAACAAAATGAGAGAAGATGCCGGTTTGAGGCGAACACACACAGACTGCACTGATGGTGAGAATTGGACGCAGATATCCATTTTAAAACCTGCAGGTTAGCGTCTGTTTTGGGTGCGAGCTGAACTGTACCTGTAGGTCTGTCTTGATGAGCGAGGCTCCTGCTTGGACCAGATAATGACAGATAGTTCTTTGAGACAGGGACGCAGCTCGGTGAAGGACCGTCTCCCCCCTGGTCAACAGAAGAGAGAGAGAGAGAGAGAGAGAGAGAGAGAGAGAGCGCGTCAGATTACAGCATCTGACAACATCACCCGAGGAACAGACATCAACAGTGGCCCCCCTGCTGCTTCTTTTGGAGTCTTGTGTTTATGATGGCACATATATCATCACATATAGACTGAACAGAGCACAGATACAGACACAGGCAGTTTGAAAGCATCATCATCTACACTCCGTTAACATTTAAATAAAGTGTTTAGCATTTTAAAAACCTCATGGTTTCAGTTCAATGTTAGATGTTTTCAAGCACAAATATAATCTGTACTTACTGCAGTTTTTCTGTAACCACTAAAAACTACTTAAAAGGCCGGGTTGGTGATTTTCTCCAGATCCACTTTTTAAGATTGTGGTTGAAATTGTCTTTTGGTCCTGACAATGCCAGCAATGAGCTGAGGTCTGCTTCTGGGGTGGGTGCAGACGGAGCACTGAGGGAATGCTACTTTTAGAAAATGACCGACCCTGCCTTTAACCCAGACAAGACTCTCTCTTACCTGCTTTTTGTGTCTTGAGATAACATTTGGATTGAGTTGGCGCTCTACAAAATAAAGATTGATTGAACTGACTTTTTGTTTTACAAGCCTGTCATTGAAAGTTTCCCATTTATTCAAACACTAGAATACAGAAAGAAAGAAAAAAAGAATAATATCATATTCCTATTTTGAAACAAACTACATACCTATGTTGAAAAGAACCCACATACATTCATTAATGGTAAAAAAAAAAAAAACTACTAAGGATTCTTTTAATGAGCTATACATGGTGCAATGGCACCCCCTGTTGGCCTGTCAGAGACTGCTACAGGAAGTGACTCATCAAGCCCTGCCTATAAAGGAAGCAGGAAGTTAAGGGTTCCTTCTTTCATCTTCAAGGCTGCACACAGCAGGCAGCAACAGAGATGTAAGTTTCTTCACTGGACTGAAGTTAACAACTAAGCTTTCTTTTGTCGTGTATTAGTTTATTGTTCATTGTAGAACTTTGGTTATGACTAAACTAAATGTTCTTGTGTCTTGTAGTTTTCACTCCTTATTCAATCTGGTGAAGAAATGAAAAGAGGAGTTTGTCTGACTGTCAACCTACGAGCACCAAACACGTGGAGGACTGTACACACACCTGTGGAGGATGTAGAGGACCATCTCTTTGCTTCCTGCACTGGCAGCGTGATGACGTAACCTGCAGCCGGACGAGTCGAGTGACGTGAGGTCGGCTCCCTCCAGGTGCGGCTCCCTCCAGGTGGGGCTCCCTCCAGGTGCGGCTCCCTCCCTCCAGGTGCGGCTCCCTCCAGGTGGGGCTCCCTCCAGGTGCGGCTCCCTCCAGGTGGGGCTCCCTCCAGGTGCGGCTCCTGCAGCTGATGATTCAATTCAAAGACACGTGTGAGTATGTAGAAATGAGGTGCAAAGGTCTGTAGTGAGAGATGAAACTGTCACTCACCTTCTTTAAGTCCTTGTTCTTCACACACTCAACCAGCAGCTCTAGAGAGAGAGGATGTTAAAAACCACAGATAATTAAAGTTATTATCAGTGCTCTGTATGATGAGGTTCAAGGTCTTGGTCCTCAAAAGGATTTGATTGACTTCTCCTTTTGGATGACAGATTTATTGGCTAACAACAAACATGTAAACTACTATAACTAAATAAAACACAGCTGGCAGATAACCAACGACATTAAGGACTAATGCACTACAGCTGAACCTGATCACAGATGTAACACCTCTCTCTCTCTCTCTCTCTCTCTCTCCCAAAAGAAGCAATGTGATGCAGATGGACATGAAAAAAACTTAATGTTAACTTTCATGAATCAGTCCATGTTTATTCACTTGTCTCCAAACACTTTACAATAACTAACATTTTAAGTTTAAACTAATTGTGATGTGTTTTTTTGTTGTTGTAACTTTTAGGGGCAGCCTGACCAAAACAAGACAAAGAGCTGTTAACATGTATGCTACACCACGCTGCCTCACCTGCTTCCTTCAACATTTGGTGAGTATTTTTCTTGGCTCTTGAGTTTATTTTAACCGTTTCAGTCACAGTCATATTCTTGATTTTATTCGTAGGGCAAAATGTACATGATGCTACAAACTTACATTTTAATCTTAACACTCTCTCTGATGTAGATGTAGAGATTATTTTGACTTAAATGATTAAAAATTAGTAATGTATCAGAATGGCACATTTTACAATCCTAGCTGTAAATTACCCATAGATGCAACCTGAAATGAACTTTCAACCCTGATGTCTTTGTTTCTTGTATTCCAGGTGTGAACTCTGAAGAGTAGGATCTGTGCTGCAGCTGGAAGGATTTTCTTTAGATTAAAGTTAACTTGTTAGCTGTTTTTATCTTTAAGCTATAGATTTAGTTTAAAGTCTGTTTTCTTTCTTTTTCATTTGCAGTTTTCTGTTAACACACTTTGATTTAAAAAAAAGTCTTAATTTGTCTGATGTTTGTGTTGTCAGCATCTTTAATTCCTAATAGATGTTTTGTAGTTGTTACCTTCTTTCACAGCTGTGAACTTGAGCTGTTAGATTTGTTTGAAGACTACAATAAATAAAACACACCTGGCAGATAACCAGAGCCTCACAGATACAGAAGTCATGATGATGCAGAATGGACACAGCAGTAGTTTTATTAAAATAAAATATTGACCAGACAACCTCTTTTTTTGTACATGTTACATAAGCACAATACAATAAGGCGTCACAGGCGTCCCCATTGGGTAGGAGCTCAAAGCTTTCTTAATGTTGTATTATGTTCCAGGTTTAGGTCGTATAAATGTTTAGACTCAGTTATTTGATCCTTTTTGGAGTGGAGGAACATCAGGTGTTTAACGAAATAAGGATTATAAAAATGTAGTATTTCATTAAACACCTGATGATCCTCCACTCCAAAAAGGATGAAATGATTAAAATAACTGAGTCTAAACATCTATAAGACCTAAAACATGGAACATAAGAAAGCTTTCAGTCTCCTACCTGAGCAGGAAGACGGTCACCGACCGGGGATCCTCCTGGAAGACGTCGACAGAGTTCCTGTTGAAGAAAAACACATTTTAGTTCATCAAGTTAATAAAACTCAAAATGTTTGTGATTATAAAACATTACGATGATTGGAATAAACCTGAGTTTCATCATTCACTGTGAATTGTCTGTGTTTAACTTCACTTTAAAGGGTTTTGGATGAGACTGAAGCAAACTTAAATTTAAAGTTTAAATGTAGAATATAATATAGAAACATTAAGTATAAGGTCTTAAAAACATCTTTACCATACATTAACTGTCACAAGAACAAAGACTCTAATTAAAGTTAAAGGTTTAAAATAAATTAATCAGACTTTTGTTTCTTTGAGTAAATTAAACACAGAAAACTGGATTAAGAGCTTTTACTTTTAAATTAAATAAAGAAGTTTATTCATATTACTTTATCAAGATGAACATTTAATCTCTGAGCTTTGTGAACAGTAATGTTTAGAAAATCATTTTACCTCGGATTAACTAATTTACATATTAGTCAATAAACTTAAATTGAGGTTATTGTTTTATTTAAACGCTTCAATCTGATATTAGTTTAAATTATAAGTTTTGTTTTTAAAGTTTACTTTTACCCGGTGTTTAAACAATTAGTTTAACAGGAGAAAACAAGTTCAAAAGTTACCTTCATAATGTTGATAAATGTTATCATCATCTTACTTTGACGATGTTTCCTCTTAACAAACATTTAGCATGAGCATTAGCCCACGTGTTAGCATTAGCATACAGCCCCACGTGTTTCTATTTTGAGGCTTTTCACACAAAACTGAACTTTTAAAGACTCACTGAGTATCTAGACTTCATCTCTCCTTCCCCGGCTCCTTCTTCTTCCACCGCTTTGATCCACAGCCAGGCTGCCCGAGGTCCGCACCGCTTACCTGCTCGAAACAATGATAAATACACCCGAGAACACCTGAACACACCTGGGCGTGATTACCGGAAGCTCCAACAGGAAGTGTCGCAGAAAGTTTCTATGGAAGAAACGAAAAAGTTATAAATAAGAGGACACAAAAACAAGACTAAGTCAAAAATCAAATGTTTTATTGATAAAAAATATTTATTAATGTAATTTACTTGTTTTTATTACATGAGAAAGTCAAACTCGGGTCACCATGGTAACTAACTGCATTCGTTAGCAGGGGACGAAGCTAACCTGTTTTCCGGTCTTTAGGACACTGACTGAATTGTTACTCACAGATAAATTCACTGCTGAATGATGTTTACCTCCAGTTTCTCTCTTCCTCTCCCTGTCGTTCTCCAAAGTGTCTAAGAAGCAGATAAATGAAGACACGGGATGAGTGAAAACTTTGTACTGAAGCTCCGAAGTTAGTTTGAGATACTAATGTGTAAAGATGGAGTTTAAAGGTGAAACTGCGCCCTCCTGTGGTCACTCTGTGAATTACTGCATTTGGAAGTTTTGTTTTTTTCACCTTTCTTGTTCTAGATACAACAAATTCAAACTGCTTTCTTTGTTTTATTTCTTTATAAATAAATGTGACTTGACTTAATCACAGATAAAATATTTTTTTAATTATAAAAAAGCAACTGTTTACTGCTTATGTTAATTAAAATCCATTGTGTGTTAATCACACATGCATGTTAGTCTCTCAAAGAATCTGAAGTGTAACTTCATTGATTACATATTCTTGTGTACGTTGGAGCATTACAACTACTGAGGTGTTGTGTTCCCATGACATATTAGGCAATATATTTTTCTTATTTTCTTATCAGTGGTAGATAATTAAAGACTACAATAAACAAGTTTCCTCAAAATCAAAGAAAACAGACAATGAAAGCTGTAAACTACTATAACTAAATAAAACACAGCTGGCAGATAAGGGTTTTTGTTTTGAATCCACGTCTTTTTAAGCCTTTTCTGCCTCGTAATTATCGGGCAAAAATATAAATTATTTGACTTCCAAGTAGAGTGAATGTAATCACTCAAATGTGTCTACAAGGTGACTGGTTACTGCACTGACCTGTATCTAACTTAAAAGTAGTGAGGGTTTTTACCACACCTCTAAGAGCAGATAAAATGATCATCAGAGTTCAACCACTGACGAAACAAAGACACTGAAAGAGAGTACAGAAAGAAGACTTGGATGAAATGAAGAAACTTCTCAGTTGACAGTTTTGGTCTCACTCCAAGTCTGCACTCAGAAAGAAGAAAAGCAGAGCAGAATTAATTTGCTTTCTTCAGAAGAAAAAAAAGAAAAGAGAGTGTTGCTTACAATCAGAGGACAGGTTATTCTGTCTTAGTCTGTCTTAGACAGACCCCTTTAGAAGACAGACTAAAGGGGTTTCACACTTGCAGAAAACTCCTGATATTTGCAGGAGGAGCTGTATGTGTGAATGCAAACTTTTCGTTTGGACTTCACCCGAGTTTCTCCTGCCAGAACCCTACTGTAGTATTCTTTTCAGCAGTTAGTCAGAGTGAGCTGATGTGAGAACGCAGCAGAATATTATCTGGAATATTCACCTCGGGCCAATGGGAGGGGGAGTGACGTTTATATCCTGTGACTGCTGCTCGACCACAGACTGTCTGCACGCCACCTCTACCATCTCCGTGCTCTAATGAACCTGCTGCTGCATGTTTCCTGTTCTCCAGTTTGTTCTTCTCCACTCTTTAGTTCACATTGTGATTCTGTTCAACTACACGTAGCATTGATTTAAAGACAAATATTCTCATTATAGCATCGTATACCTCAGGAGACCCCTCGCCGCCCCCCCTCCCATCTGACAGTTGTAGTCCCCAGCTGTGAGGTGGATATGTGAACAACCAGATCAGGTGAATCTCTGGAGCAGTCCTCCTGAAATGATCTAGATATTTTCAGGAGTGCAGATGTGAAAACGACTTAAATCCACACCTTTGCATGTAGAACAGTTAAATTCATGCAACTGGACATGTTTAGATTTTTATACTTTCTGATTCATATTTCTTTCTCTGTATGTTAGATGTCATGCATGCAACAACACATAAAGAAAATGACTCTTAAGCTGATGCACTATTCAGTGTAGAGAAACAAACTGAGGCTGCCTCTACCTGAACATCAAACTCTTCAAATCCAAGCAGATTGTTGGTCTGAGCAGAGCAAGAGGAAGAAAAAACACACAGCAAAACTTAGCTCCCATTACTGGCCAAACCTCATAAAAACATCTCCAAATTTAAGCTTTGGTTACTGGTTTGTGACACAACAATACTTAAAGCAACTGCATTTAAGATCAATAAGGACAAAATAACAGATAAATACAGACAGAGTAAAGCTGGGTTTAAATTTCTACACATCTACTGGTTCATCTCAGATGGACATATCGTGCAGTTTACTCGTCTACATTCATCTGAGGTGTTGTTTCTTTACAGGTGATGAATTAACAGAAATCTTCACCTGTAAAAAAAAAAACCTGTGCAGACTGTCAACAGCAGTATTTAAAGAGGTGCACACAGAAGCTAGTTCAGCAGCTTATCAAAATACTCACTACAGCATCAATGTCTCTGTAGTCATCAGGAGACATGGGCAACATGTTGTCCTGCAGTCTGGACGGATGTCTGAACAGAAAGCAAATCCAAATTAAATCTGCTCAATGCATTACCAATAAAATATTTGACATGTGTTTAAAAAGTGACATTCTCTGCTCACACTTCAGAGACAGAAATGAGCTCTGTCTGCATGTAGCCGCTCCTCTCTGGATTGTTCTCCACATTCATGGGCTCCTGAGCTAAAAGTCAAATAAACACAGATTCAACTTTAACAGCATTTAGTCCCCAATAAGCATTCAATAAACGAGCAGTTTTAGGTAATAAAAAACCTCTCATCAGCTCGTTTGTATAAAAGGTCTAATGTTTTTACGGCACCTGCAGATTGTTAGTTTAATAAACACTCTTAAAAGAAGCATTAAAACTTGAAATTTAAGACAGCATCATATTTTATAAACAGATCATATGGTTTACTGTGGAACCAGAACACTTACTCTCTGTGGGTTTGGGGTAGTATTTCCCGAGGCCTTGTCTTTTGGGATGTTGGGGTAGAGGAAGCGGAGAGGGATGTTCTCGGCAGCCGTCACTTAGTAGGTAGAGATGATGTCGGGCAGAGAGACGGCTGACAGCTCCTTCTTCGTGTACGGCTCCACAGAGTGAAAGAGAGAGAGAGGGAGTAGGAAACTGTTCTTCAATTTAAATATCAGACAATGTCAGATACTGAGTGAAAAGTTTTGGAGGTAGCACAGCACGACCTATCTGGGCATATTGTTGTTTGTTTTGGTTTAATGCTGGTGCAAACAATCTGTGTGTTTCTGCAGAACTCAAAATGCATACTTTATACACTTTCTCCTAAAACGTATCTTTACCATCTTGATCTGCAGCTCTTCTGCCAGAGGACTGGTTTGTTTTGAGAGATGACACCTTACCTTTGGAAAAGATGCATAGAGTCTACAAATGATTAAATCAAGCAAAAGTAACACATGTGCACCTGAATGCATCACATATTTAAAGAAATGTTGACTTAATGTAACCTTATTGTGTGTGTGGCGAAGAGATACGGATGTGGTTCTGCATGCTTTTGGGGAAACAGCGCCCACTGGTGGTCTTTTTTTTATTTTACATGTCGCGGACAAACAAATGTGTGTTTTTTTTAAACATAATTCAAGACGCAATAACTTGAATAAGATCGTTTCCTTAAATAATTCAAAATTGTTTTCTTACTGCGAATTGCAAAATTTATTTTCCCATTTCCACAAAGCACTGGAGATATAAATAGACACGCAGGAATCTCAGTTGACCAACAGAGGGCCACGCAGACCCCCTATGATGTAACAGCGTCCCCCATCTAACCCAAGATCTTCATGACAGAAAGACGTCCCACTCTTTCTCTGTTATCTTCTGAGTTATATAACAAAAAACACGTCATTTTTTAAAATGTTTTTTGATTAAGTATTACCTATTATTGATTCTGTTTTGTTTTCTAGTGATAAAAAAATAAAGAAAATATATCCAGTGTCCAGAAGCAATACTAACCAGCAATATTTACAATACATTAAAGCAGAGAAATAAAGACTAATTTCTAATTTCTAAGTTTTGCTCGACAAATTATGTAAGAATTAATTATATATCAAAAAATACTCATCGCATATATTTTTACATAAATATATATATTTTTCGCTTATATCCTGTGATGTATGGAATCTTTAGCCCTTTTATCATTTTTATCTACCATTTTTAATCATGTTTCAGTAGGTTTTTACTTCTCCTTCTTTCTAATGTGTTGTTTCTTGTTACATCTGTTTTGTAATTTGGGTATCATAATTGATTGACTTCAAAACAAATCTAGGCTATTTACTGGTACAAATTAAGTCACCTGAACCTGACATATTTTCTAATTATATATTTATTTACCTGAGTATATTAAGGCATTTAAATCTACATGAATCCCACAGCTTACCTTTAATTATTAGTTGAGGGGCATTTCTTACCCATGCTACCCCTACACGAGATTAATTAAGCAGAGCAAGCCTGAAGAGCACATTTCATTACATCAACGACCCAGCAGTGCTTTTACTCCTTTTAAACTCTGTACTTTCATAATAAACACAAAGGTTGCCAGACTTTGAGAAGAAACTGATTTGTGAGTGACACATCCTACTTTTATACACGATCTTTGGCTACACACGCCCAGCCTCAGCACCAGCTCATCCTTTCTTCACGGGGCTTTCCCCCGTTATGTGCGCACCGTCGTTTCAAGAAACCATGAAAAGCACGAGGCCTTCGTGATCAAGAGACTGACGCCGGTGGACTCGTTCTCCTGCCCTGGTCCGGTATGTCTTTGAGCCTGCTTCCCCTCTCGCCATGCCCTCTGCTGAACGCCACCTGCCGCCGCCGCTTCTGCTGCTCTTTCTTCCGTCGCTGCTACTGATTTCGTGCCTGGATGGAGCGGTGGGAGCAGCGGAGGAGGGCGGCGGCCTGCCTTCCTCCTCGTCGCCCGGGGACAATAGCCTCAACGTCGTGGTAGGAGACCAGTCCACCCCGGGGAGATCTGCGAGCCCCTCCGATGTAACAGCAGGTAAACAAAAACAGAAAGAGTCAGTCATTGTTTGAGAAAATTGAAATAAGCTGCAACACACTGTGACTCATAAGTGAAGAGAGTAGCTGAGCATCTCATGCTTATGTTTTTGTTTTTATTTAGCTGGAGCCAAAACGTGATGTCATCTGTTTTGTCATAATAATCTATGTAAATTTCCTGTGCATATGTACAATAAAATAAGGGTTCCTGCACTTTAAATCTGTCTTTACAGTGCAAATGTACACAAACAAAATATCAGAAGGGCATTTAATTAGATGATGTTAAGAAATTTGGTACAATGCATAATTTAAGTGAAGAAAAAAAACAATTCTTTATACAGGACAAATTGATATGAACTGAAATATGAGCTATTTTGTGCAGGTTACACCTTTAAGGTAGCTGTTCATCTCGGCATAGATTGTTTGTTTTCTTCATAGTACACAACAGTGCCTTGTTATTAAGGACATCACAATCAAATCAAGTTAGCTGTTGTTTGGATTTTTACACACCCTTCTTTTTGTATCACAGATAATACAATTTCATTCAACCTGACTCTTCAAAGATGATTGATTGAATGCAAACGTATTTAGGAGTCTTAAAAGCATTTTCAATAGAGTGATTAAAGATTTAAACTGGAAGCTGTTCAAGTATGTGTCTTTGTACATAACATGGTTTAAACATTTTTTAAATAAAATTTGATCTCAACCTGTCCATATTACTTGTATAATCTCCTTATCATTAAGGATTTCTATATTCAAATGATGTTCTCTGCAGTTTCTTATTAAACAATATACATGCTATATGGATGTAAACATACATTTCAAAATAAAATAACAAAATACAACGCTGCAATAAAACTGACACTTCAAAAATGATAGATTGAATGAAAACTGTGGAAATAATCATATCATATTTCAGGATTTATATAATATGCTTGCAGAGAAAAGGGAAATGTTGCTCAAATTTAAGTAAATTCCATCTTTAACAACATAGTTTTGCATTTTCTGCACTTAAATGAAGAGACATATTCATGTAGGTAGAATTCTAGATATATTATTTTCCCAAAATTAGAAGGGACATTTTCTACAATATGAGCAATTTCCGTTTCCTTCCACTTTTATATTACTCTGAGCTATTTGTCTGACTAATTGGCTATTTTTATAAAAAATCTATAATTCAAAAGCAGTCTGGCCAACACCATAATAGGATTAAGGAGTATAATTTGCAGGTTTGAGGGATTTGAGGTGTTAAAGTGGAGCTTGGTTGCTGTTACAGCAATGGCCTCTGGATGCCGGGTTTACACACTGTAATCACCAAAGTAAACATCGACAGCATATATTAATGCTCGCTAGGAAGTCCAGTCCAGCCGCCATTTGTGCCAACTCAGAATCAGATGTAGAGGTTGTGTATGAAGGGTAAAACGTGCAACATGGCAGTTGTTTTTGCTGCATTTATCTTTGATATTTCCAGAGTAAAGGATGTTTATAAATATATTTTAACAAATACAAATGTCTAGGAATACAGCATTGCATTAAATCTTGCCTTTTCATTCAAGTGTTTGACTAGAAACGATTTATTTAAGTGGCAAAATATGAATCTGGATTTGTTTTTACTGAAAGATAAGAAGGAAAGGTTGCTGAAATATGAGCCTGTGTGTGCAGAGTGTCCCTTTTAACATTCTCAAATGTGCATGTAAGTCAAAGTGGAGGGTTAGATGAAAGGCAGGGGAAGGAACGTGCCACATTGCAGTCTGTTTTGATGTATTTTTCATTCAGCCAGCGATTTCAGCCGTGCATGCCTCATCACTTTTTCATGGTGAGAGAAAGGTTAGTGACGACTGCTGAGAGGAAGCACATGCAGAGACACATGTAATACAGTGATTTCATACAGGGAGGGTTAAAGAAATAAGAGGATAAATACACTTGGTTGGATTTTCTTAAAATTTTAACACAAACTGGACATTGAGAGGTTGTGTTTTAATGATTGTGATTGTGTTTTCTCACCAGAGTCCCCGTTCGCCCTGAAAGTCCTGGTGAGAGACATGGTGACCCGACAGCCGCTGCAGGGGGCTTCTGTGGATGTTTACATAAACCACACAATAAAGAGCTCAGCACAAACAGGAGATACAGGTGATGTTCTGCTCTGGGTGGATTACAGTCCAGGTCTCAGTTTGACTCTGCTGGGAAACATGGAGGGCTACGTCCCCACCCCTGTGCCCTGGAGCACCAACAAGAGACCCCGTGAGTAACAACCACAATGACATTTAAGCTTTTCGTCAGCTGACGTCTTTATCTGTAGCTTTATGTCTATATATCCACACATACTGTAAAGTTGAGGGGAAACATGTATTTTCTCAGCTTTCTTTATTTAGAACTGCATTTCCTAAGCATGGCTTCCCTGATGTAAGGACAACTTCTTAAAAAAGTTTACACAACCACAGACAACATATATATTATATTGCATTTTGTTTCAATTACTATTTTGTAAACTGAGCATTCATTTTTATGACAGCGCTTGCAGCCATCTTAAAAGTTAAATTTGTAAAACATCTAAATTATTTTTAAGGCTACATTGCGGTTTCAATGTAACCACAACCTAGATTATTTTCAAGAACAACATTTTTTGAGGGAATTAAACACGACATCTATGCGCCATGCTCAATGCACTAATTAAGGGTTGGGAAAAGCTTTAACTTACATTTCATTTTATAATCTTACATCTTAGCAGACTGCTGATTTAGTCTGTGTCAAACATCACCGTAAAACATTCAAACTATTCTGTAGCTACTACATCTTTCATGTGCTTTTTTTATTTTATTTTATTTTTTTAGATCTAGCGTATATGCCATAACATTTAATTAGAGATGTTTTTAGGTTTCTTTCTGTTCTTTCAGTTTTTGTGTTAGATTTGAATTACCAAAATTAAAAAGTCTGTGAGAGACGGTATCGATGTGCTATTGAACAAAAGACAGCTTCAGAGTAAAGTTCAACCTCTGGCTCTTCTTTGCATCACTCAGGAAGTTTTTTATTGTCTGGTCAAAGGGATGTACCCTGAAACAAAATGAAAAAGTGACATAAACATGCTAGAAGTAGTTTCTATTCATCATGTTCACAGACAGCAGGATAGCAAATATCTTGTGGTTAACATCCTCTCTGCTAGATGTTCACCTGACCTGCTCCAGGGTCACAGCTGACCCTGAACCTGACCTCCCCTTTTAGTGAAGCTAAAGAGGATTTAACAACAAGGATTGATCGCAGCATGAAGAGCAAACAGAATTCAGACATTTAGCTCATACTTCACCCAACCCAGTGCCATGTTTACAGACACATTTTTCTTCATAGATTTACTGTTTTGGCTGCGTAAAGACAAAAAAGGAAACTTATGATGGGATGCTGGTTAAGGTTAAAAATGACTACATAAACTGGGGAAATCAAGCATGCTTCTGCTTTACAACACCAACCACGCAGTTCACTTCACACACCTGCATTATTTACAGTCATTACAGATTAATGAAGTGTCTGCGACAACATACAACTTGTCACTGCGATGTCTTCATGATGAAGCACTTTATGTTCCCAGTGTTCTGTAACTGAACGCCATCTCCTATCCTCGATGTATTGATTGTCCCTGCAGCTACACGTAGAGAAATATATCCCTGCCTCAGCAAACTGTCTTTGTCCTCCACCGAGTCAAATGCAGAGGGGGGTGGGGGCTCTTCAGCTACAGCGGTATCATGTTGTTGAAAAGGAAAAAAAAAGGAATGGGGCTTAGGTCTGACTCTATTATGTGTTTCCTCTGGTGTGAATGAAAGCAGGGAGGTGGTGTTTTAAAGCAAACATGGAGCAGGTGTCATGAGGGATAAAATCAGAGTGTCATCTGTCGGGACCTGCTTTGCTCTGCATTAAGAGAGGCGCCTCCCTTTTGTGCTGCTGAGCCAGACAGCTGAACCCTAAAAGAAGGCTTGAAGTAATAATGCCACCTGCTGGTGGAACTACACAAATCCATAAGCAGGGTTTTGTTAGGAGAATAAGGCATTTCTGTAATCTCTTATTTACTGTGCATTTGAAAATTGAAATTTTTCAGGGGCCATAACTGGGGAATATGCAAAAAAACAGAACAAACACACACATATGTACATATATATATATATATATATATATAGGTATGATGATTGGTGTTTTTACCTGAACTTTGCCTTCTGCAGTTTTCTCGGCTGTGACGCTGCTGCTGCTCCCTCACACTCAGGGCAACATCTGGTTGTTTGAAGACTCCGTCATCATCACTGGGAAGCTACCTGGTAAGTTTATACACTTCTTAGTGAACCTTTATTGGAAATACATTAACTACAGCATAACTTTCACCCTAAATCTCTTTCTTTTTAGATTGCATCTTAAATTTCAATACGTAAAAATAATGCTTTTTTCGAGAATTAACCAAAC